GGGATGGGGAGAAAAGAGTTCAAGATGCCTATATTGTGCAATCCCAATATACTAAACTCCAGAAAATTATAAAAAAATCTTATCAGTTTTGTATACCTAGATAATCACTAAGTCAAAGTAATCATTTCCCTGCTTATTGTTTTCTCCTTCAATTTAGTGTCCTTTTTCAATGTAACTCAAAGTTTATTTTAATTAGAAAGTGCCTGCTGTCATCTTCTGACCACAATTAGTACATGAGCTAATTGTTCTGAATGCTGAATATTCCTAGGAAAGCAAGGAAAGCCAGAGGACACCATGGAATAGATTCCCCTTTGGGAAGACAACCTGGCTTTAATGAGTCACCTGACTCTACAAGTCATTGCTGCACAGCAAACCCAAGAAACTTTTCCTCAAAGGAACAACAATATCACCCCTAGGGAATTTGCCATTTTCTACTAGAGCCATCCTTTCCGTCCCATTACACACACAAAGACACACATGCCCATCCTGACAGCATGCATGTAACTATGTTCCTTGGCGGTGAGGAGCATTCAATGGGTCATATCAAGAAGTGCTCAGTCCACAACAACCCATTAAACTAACAGAGAAGACCAGCTTTAGAAAGCTCTCTTTGGAATTAAATATCAACATTCTGGCTTTGAATAGTGAGTGCAATATTCATGGATTTTAAAAACTAATTTATACTTTTATGTGTTCAATTAGAAATTGAAAATAAAATACTCTCTCACCCACTTTAACTCTTATCTCCTTGGGAACTGTGGCATCAACAATAGATGCCCTGCAGAACTCTGGGCTCCAAACCAGGCTGCCCAGGATTCCCAGGGGCAGTGTGTATGGTCTCAATGAACCGAAGCCACTGATAAACTTTGTACCTAGAAGTAGGGAAAGAGAATGAGGAGAAAACCACCTGGTACTCAGACTGGAAGAGGCCACAGTGTTATTGATCATCAAAAGTGCCCCATACATAGAGAGGAATATTTGAGAGTCAGAATCCTGGACCCTAGAGGAGAAGCGTGACTAAGAAGCCAAAATCAAGAGTTATGGAAAAACTCAGGTGGCTAGTGGAGAGGAAGGGAAGGAAAGAATCAGTATATTATGTATCTGAATGGAATAGTTCAGAACTAAGAATGCATTAGATACTGTACTTCCTGCCTTACTTTAGATTTGTTGTCTAATTTTTCTGATACGTATTGAAATAAAATTTAAATTATGTTTATATGATAACATAGGAGGTTATATATTATATATACTTATATTTATGTATTGCATTACACTTACATTATATAATGAAAACCTACCAACATTTCATTTGTACTTAACAAAAAATATTTCCTTAGCTCTTATGCACAACCAAACATGTTTGAATATTTTTCAAGGAGCATTGCCTTAAATCTCACAACAAAGGTACATCATAGGGACAATCATTCCCTTTTTACAAAGGAAAAAGTGAGAATTAGAGAGATTTTTGCCATGACAGGTTAAAAGAATTGGCTAGTGTGAGGCCTCCGACCTGAGTCTTCTGTCTCCAGTCTCACACAGGGTCAGCACTGAAGCTCATGTATTGTTCATAGTGAAAACAGGGGCGGCCCCACTGAATTCTACTTGAGGCAGAAGGCAAAGAGCAAATACTGTTCAGTGCTTGATCTCATTCTCAGACCAGAAAGAAAAGTGATTGCACCATGACACTCACGGGCATCAACTCATAAGCTTAAAAAGTTTATCTGATAATAGAGTTAAAGCCAGTAGTAGTAAGCTGCTTGTCACAAGAGTGACTTATATGTATTATGAAGATCAATGAAGGAAGAGACCAAAATGCATTCCTAATGAGCTGCAGGTTCTCAAGTATTGGTTACTGAGAACCAATGACTCAAATTAACAATGAACTCAAAGAGCTATGTCTCACTGTTGGAAATACTAAATACTTTCTTATTCTAAAGTAAGACAGAATTTTTTAAGATTATATTTGAAGACATTTTGTACTGAAATTTAGTATTCATGGTGTTTGAAACTTGAAGATCTCAACTAATGTTGCTATCAGAGAGTTGTGTTTTTATGATAATGAGAATCAATAACATTGGGCAGAAAATCTCAGTATCATGTAACAAGCCTCTAAAAGCACAAACATGCTATGGAATCCTGTGTAAGGAGATATGTTCAGAAAGTAATTATATGTAGATTTTGAATCTCCATGAATACTATAGTAAGGAGTTTTACATATATGCCATCCATCTTTTCAGCATTTCTGTTATAAAGACTACTCAGAAAATTGGGAAATATTGTATGATACCATTAAGTGAAAATGTAAATTATAAAATGGAATATACAATAGGATCACAATATGTAAATACCATGTACAGATGTCCCAAAATTAGCATAAATCAAAATGGATTGTGAGGCACTAAGATTAAAGATTTGTAGGTGACTCTTTAGCTGTTAATTATATGTAAAAATTAAAAGAAATGCATGCCAAAAGAGTTTGTAAATCTATAGAACTTACCTAAAGGGATTGTTATTTACTTAATGGAAAGAAAATATATGCATAAGTGAAATTTTATAATATTTGAAAGAAATGTTTAAATATTGTTTTCAGACTTTTGCTTTCTCGTTCTGATTAGTATGACTTTTATAATTTTCAGTGAATCTTGAGTACTCCCTGAAATCACTGTCTTGGACTGCAGTGCTCTCTCTGGGCCTTCTTGTATTGTATGCCATTAATTTTCAAGACACCCTCAAAACACACAACTCAGTGGGAAAGCATGGAGAAAGTGCTAGGCTCTTTAATGAAAGTGTAAACACTGAAAGTGTAGTAAACACTGAGCACTCTAATATTTCCATTACTCCAAATCATGAAGATACACTTAACTTAGAATATAAAATATACTGCTTTTGAATTATTATCTTAAGAAATATACATAGGAATAAAATTATTTTAGAAATGTATCATAGTTGGTGATATTACATAGTTGGTGAGGATATCTCTCTGGTGTTTAATCCAATATGTGGTATTAATATTGTGATAGTAAAATGCTTGCACAGTTAATTGTCAAAAACTAATGAATAATTGAATTAAGGTCTAGTAACTCAATGCAACGTTGTACAGTATCAATGATTATGTTTGTGAGGAACTATACTGTGATAAAATTCTTACAAAATGCAAAGTAAAAATAACAGTATTAAATTTATCTACAATGTTAAAAATGCTATATTAAGTATATACAAAGGGAAAAATTCCTGGAAAGATGTTACTAAATTTGTAATAGTTGACATATGTGATAGGAGTCAGATTTGGGAGATATGTTTCTTTCAAATTTTCAAGTACTTTTTTCCAATATGGTTATATAATCTTTGTTTAGAAACAAAATAAGCTATTACCTTATTTATACTACTATTACAGATTTCTATGCACTGATAATATCTTCATTGCCTTGTCTCTACCAGACCTGGTTTTTCTGGACAGGAAACCTAAACTATTCATCTCTGATTTGCACTGCTGTTCATTATACTAGTCAGGTATTAATTCATTAAACGAATTCTTCTTTGGCTAATTTTATTCCCAAGCACGAGATACTGGAGTAGGGAGTAAAGTATACAGTTGTTGAGAAGAATACGTACTAAATGGGGAAAGTGAAATGTCAGCAAGAAAGCAGAAAAACATGACCCAGAGTGAACAGTGACAATCTATATGTCTTCAAAACAACACAAAGGAAGGTTACCTGACGAACTCTTAACAAGTCAGATAATGCTTTTGGGCAAAATTAATCTTGAAAGATGAGTAGAAACCACCCAGGTTAATGAAAATGGGAGATGGAAGCCATCCAACCAGGAGGAAAAAAAAAAAAGTGGAACAGGCAAGAATAGAATCAATTAGAACAGAATAGGGTGCATTTAAAGGTCTCTAAACAGCTCAGGATGATTGGATCAGTGCAATGTTAGAAAGAAAAGCCCTAGAAAGGGAAAGCATAGATACTCAGGGACTTAAAAGGATCCCTTAGCATCATCTATTTTTACCACGGCAAGAGATCACTTAGGAAGATGTATTGTGAACAACAAGAGGTAAGGCAGAGAGTAAACAGATTTTTAAAAATGAAGCAGAAAAATGACCAGGGCATACACTAACGTAAGGACACTAAGATTGGCAGTGACGATATGAAGAAACAGAACTGGGAGCTAAACTGTAGATGGAATCAGTAGGATTTCATTAGATATGATACCACTAGGAAGAAGGCTGGGATGACTCCCACAATTCCTACCTGAGAGATTGCGTGGGGGGTGGTGTCATTCCACAGATAACAAATAAGAGAGTGATCCAAGATTAGGAGGAATAGAGTATGGAGGAGACTTAGTGTGAGATATGAGTGGGATTTCCAACTGGTGACTCCCAATAGGTAATAAAAACTATAAATTGAGATCTTGAGAGAAAGATCTTTCTATGAGTCAAGGATGGCGAATGTTCTAAAATAAATATTATATAAATAAAAGAATATAACTAAAATCACAGGGCTGGAGATTGAATCAGTGTCCTTTTGTGCAAAGAAGAAAGAGATTTAAAAAATCCTGTATAGGGCCTCCCTGGTGGCACAAGGGGTTAAGTCTCAGCACTAAGAAGCTAACCACAGCCACTGTAACATGAGTTCAATCCCTGGCCAGGGAGCTAACCCGCATGGCACAGCAGACCACTCTTGTCCTGCCTGCTGCTCCCCTCAGCAGTGTTTTTCAGTCAATCTGCCTGTTCTGCTCCCCCCTCTGTCTCTGGTGAATCCTCTCACCTCCCGCACCTCTGGCCTACACCCCAGCACTTGTATGCATAAATAAGTAAAATGAATCATTGAAAAAAATTAAAAATAAATCCTGTATAATTTTGTATTTACAGGCTGGTCAGAGAAAGAAATCACTGTGGATGGGTCTGAGAAACAACCAGATAAAGGCAGCGATGTGTAGAAAAAGAGCATAAAACAAATGAATATTTGCATTTCTTTCAACAGGAGCAATTCACAGAGGAGATGGAGGGTGGAAACCACACCAGCGTGACAGAGTTCATCCTCTTGGGGTTAACAAAGGATCCTATACTTTGTGTTATCTTATTTGTAATATTTCTAGCAGTCTATATTGTTATGTTAGCAGGCAATATCAGCATAATCATATTAATAAGAACATGTTCCCAGCTGCACACCCCAATGTACTTCTTCCTCAGTCATTTGGCTTTTGTTGACATTGGGTGCTCCACATCAGTCATGCCTGTCATGCTTATAGGGTTACTCAGACATAGAATGGCCCTCCCTGTGGCTGGCTGTGAGGTCCAGCTTTGTTCTATGGTCATGTTTGGGTCAGTTGATTGCTTTCTGCTGGCTGCCATGGCCTATGATCGCTATGTGGCCATCTGCTTGCCCCTGCTCTACTCCACCTACATGTCTTCTTGCCTCTGTAGCCTCTTAGTGGGAGTTTCCTACATAGGTGGGTGTTTGAATTCTTGGTCATTTGGCAGCTGTTTACTGAAGCTGTCTTTTTGTGGCCCAAATGAGATAGACCACTTTTTCTGTGATTTTGCCCCTTTAGTGAAACTTTCCTGTTCTGATGTCTCCATTATTCAAATTATCCCTTCCATCACTTCCGGATCCATCCTTATGGTTACAGTGTTTGTCATGGTTCTTTCTTATGTCTTCATCCTCAACACCATTCTGAAGATGCGCTCCACAGAAGGACGACACAAGGCCTTCTCCACCTGCACCTCCCACCTCACAGCCGTCACTCTCTACTATGGAACCATTACTATCATATACGTCTTGCCCAAATCCAGCTACTCAACTGATCAGAACAAAGTGATATCTCTGTTCTACACACTGCTGGTCCCCATGTTGAATCCCCTCATTTACAGTCTGAGAAACAAAGATGTCAAGGAGGCTCTGAAAAAGGCAACTATCAGAAGATATTCTTAGTATCCATTCCTCCAATTGCAGTAGACCTGTAAAGTTTTTGTTGTCAATATCACAGTTAGGACTACCAAATTTTGCTTAACTGGCTACTTAAAATCATGTTTCTATTAATTCTCACTTTTAGACACTTACAAAACAATGGGTAAATATACCTTGATTCAGTGATAGTGATGGTAAAAATTATCGCTAATTTTGAACACCTATAGGTGCTAAATGCTATGTTTATTCACCAAACAATAATTTGGACTTTACTATGCTAAGTACTTATTACTAAGAACAGTAGATATCTAGACTGTAATTTTCTTAGTATTACAGAGGAAGTCATATGATTTTAAGGCACTATTCTAAGCACATTTCATATTAAGTGCTTTATTTCTTACAAATATTCTATTAATTCATACTATTATCTCTACATTACAGGTCAATCACCTGGAGCACAACGACATTAGAAGTTACCCAAAATCATGGTGATAGGAAATTGTAAGACCAGTGTTTGAATCTTATAGTCTAGATACAAAACAACTGTGTTTCTCCATTTAATTGTCACAGCATTTTGATGATCGAGTAGTATAAATTTCCTTTGATTTACAGATTAGAATACAGAGTCTTAGAGAGATTTAATAGGTTTTTTTTTTTTTCCTCAGAGATATGAGGATGCAAGTCCACAAGTTACTGATCTAGGGTATATGAATAGGGTAACAAAGACCAGATTTTACTTTATACCAGTGTTTTGAAAAAAATTGTACCCACGATAGTTCTAGGTTGTGATGCTTCTAAAACAAGGATGACCACGGGAAAGCTGAACTGATTCCCATCTTTTAGGAAATCAGGTTTGGAAACCACACTCACATGATTTGTTGGGGAGACTATCCATATTTAAACACATACTAAAAACAATTTATCCACTTATCATTATGTATAACTATCTTTATTTGGGGGCGGGAATTACAAAGGGCATCTCTAAATTCTAAGTACTGCATTTAATGTATAACCAGATTTCCATTGTCTGCTTTATAAAGAATAAAATCTGTTAAAAATATAAATCCTGTAAAAATTGCACTAAAAGTACTTATTGTAATGATCTACCCACATTTACATCAGTACAATGGACCAAAAATGGTAAGGAGAGAATTTCTGAGGCCCAGCTCTAAGCATTACAAAAGCACCTGCTTAAAGCCTTTGAAAGAAAGACCTTTATCATGAAAATCTTTGTCTCAGTGCCATGGCATGAGAGAAATGAAGATTGAGAGATTAAAGGGAAAAATAACAAAATGGAAAAACTTATATTGTTGTTAAGTAAAAATATAGAATATATATAATATTATTGCAAATTTTAAGTGGGAAATACAAAACAAAGATTGAAAATAACAAAAATAAATTAAAGCACGGCAATTACTACATAATGGGCAAAAGAAACTTTCTCTATATTTTTGCTTCTGACACAAAATGTGGTCTTTTTCCTATAGCAATTAATTGGAAAGCCAATATTTTCCAAATATCTGGACCTCAACTGGATGTCCATTTTAATTTACAGAGGACATTAATGAACTGAGGTAGTTCAGACTTCATAGTAAAGGACTCCATCCCACAAGACTTCTCCCACTGTAGACACCAATTGTATGTAATGGATCCCATCCAATATATAGTGAAAAATCATTTTATCCCAACCCTCATGAATCAAAAGTTTTTAGAAAGATACTAAAACTAGAACTACTAAACATCTAAATGAGAAAAACTAAAATACCAAAAAAACAGGCCCAGGATTTTTTAGTGTTAAGACACATAAAATAACAGGCTGCTATAAAAATGAATAAATTATTACCCTCAATTACTACTGTCTGTATCTCATCATGGGTTGTAATGTAATAATAATAATAATTAATGATATTAACTGTAATATAGTCTGCAGACCGTGTTTTGAATAACAGTGGACTTTTCTTTGTTGCTGTTTACTGATATTATTTCATGGACTTCTTCCTACTGCCTGATGTCCTCAGATGAAGACACAGTTTTGTGTACAGAGGTGGAATTAGATCCCTGGTGACACTGATTATTGTGCCCATCTCCAGATGAGGTTCCATTCCACAAGTTCTTTGTGCTTGTCCCTGGAGTAAGATTTATCAGGATCCTTGCAAATAAATCATTTGTTAGCATCTAGACCTTTCATTTAAGCTCCCTTCCCTGAAAAGGTCCTTAAATGCAAAGTTAGTCATTCATTCTCCTCTCTGCTGGAGCAGCTTCTACATGCTTTCAAAGCTATACTGGGATACTGTGTGAGAAAGTCTGATTGGGTTGACGTTTGTTTGGCTTTGTTTTATGTTTTGGGGAGCCAGGACTCAGTTTAGTTGATAAGTTGAATAAATCAATGATTAAATGAAAGATGGTTTACCCTCAGTTTTTCAGGGCCTACAGGTATTGGTAATTGCCACTGTCCAAAAAGACTGGTATTTTTTTTTTTTTTAGTATTCTTGTTATTCTCCTTGTAGAAAAATGATACAAAATTGCCATGTGAAGACATGATAAATGACAATTCACCCTAAAAAAATGTGCACACTGTAGTAAAATAATGAAAATATTTTGTGACTTTTTCTGGATTTTATAATGTTTCTCACTACATGTGGATGTTTTAATAAGTGTCAATTGTCATAATTTATTAATTTTATTTTGTTAATTGAGAAAATTTTACTGAAAGATGATTAGTTTACATTGTTGTTATTATTTTGGAAGTATAGGATCTCCCAATTCAGGTGTAGTAATCCCAATGCCCCCAACACTAACATACCCATAGTCCTCCACCATAGTCCATTGTGCTCCCTCCACACCCTGTCTCATCCGTCTCCTTCCTCCTCAGTTCTATCAAGCGCTGGTTTTAAAGTTGTTCTTTGTCTGATCCTTTGTTTGGATTTCCATTATTCTCTATATAAATGACACTATCTGATACTTATCTTTCTCCTTCTGGTTTTATCACTTAACATATTCCCTTCCAGCTCCATCCATGTTGCCACAAATGGCAGGAGTGTATTTTCTATGATCAATGAGTAGCTCTCTATTGTTTATATATACCACATCTTGATCCATTCATCTGTTTTGACACATTTAAGTTGTTTTCATATTTTAGCTATTGTACAGATTGCTTCAATAAACATAGGAGTGCAGAGTTTCTTTTGAATTAGTGGCTGTATGTTCTTTAGGTAGATTATAAGATCGATCTTTTTTTAATCTTTTGAGAAACCTTCATGTTTCTTTCCACAGGAGTTGGAGCAGTCTACATTCTCACCAACAGTGTAAGAGAGTTCCTTTTCTCCTCACCAATGCCAGCATTTGTTGTTTCTGGACTTTCTGAGATTTGAGATAGGCCGTTCTCACAATGTGAGGTGATATCTCATTGTGGTTTTATTTGCATTTCCTGATGACGAGTGATAACGAATACTTTTTGTGTGTGTGCCTATTGAGCATCTGTAGGTCTTCTTCAGATTATGCTTATTAGCTCTTTGCCCATTTTTTGATTGGTTTATTTGTTTTCCTTTTGTTGAGTTGTATGAGCTCTTTGTAGATCTTTGATATCACTCCCTTGTCAGATGTATGGTATGCAACTATTTTTTCCATTCAGTAGGCTGGGTTTTTTTTTTTTTTTCATTTTAGTTATAGATTCCTTCAATGTGTAGATGCTTTTTAGTTTGATGTGGTCAATTATTTATGTTGTCTTTTGTTATGCCGGCCTTTGGGGGAAAAATCCAAAAAGGCATCACTGAAGCTTATGTCTTGATTATTTTATGTATGTTTTCTTTCATTGCATTTTATGTTTTTAGGTCTTGCATTCAAATCTTTTATCCACTTATTGTTGATTTTTGTGTTTGGTGTGAGATAGGGGTCTGGTTTCATTTTTTTGCCTGTGGCTGTTCAGGTTTCCCAACACCATTCATTGAAGAGGCTTTCCTCATTCCAATGTATATTTTTGGCTCCTTTGTCATACATCAACCATTCATATATGTGTGTGTTAATTTCTAGTTTCTCAATTCTATTCCATTGGTCTGTGTATCTGTTTCTGTTCCAGTACTATGCTGCGTGAATTATTATAGCTTTTTAGTACAGTTTGAAATTTGCAAATGTGATACCACCACTCTTCTTTTTTGTCTGTATATACTAACTTCCAGGAAAAAATCATAAAAATGTCATTAATTTTTATCTACTCCTATACAATCACTAAGTTAAAGAAATAATTTTGCTCCTCAAATCTAATTCCCTTTTTCAATTTGACACAAGTATTGTTTTCATTAAAAAATGACTGACATCATCCTGCTGACCATAATTAGTACATGGTTTAATTGCTCTGAATGTTGGATGTTTCTAGGAGACCAAAACCTCTCCTTCATTTTCTTTAAACAAGGAAGAAGGAATGCCAAAGGACACCATGGAATGTAGAGTCCCCTTTGGGAAGACAACCTGGCCTTAATGAGTCACCTGGCTCCATAAGTCATTGCTGCACAGCAAACGCAAGAAACTTTTCCTCAAAAGGGCAAACAATAGCAGCCCTAGGGAATTTGTCATTTTCTACTAGAGCCATCCTTTCCATCCCACTACACACAAAAAGACACCCACGCCCATCCTGACAGCATGCATGTAACTATGTTCCTTGGCCGTGGGGAGCACTCGATGGGTCATATTGTGAAGTACTCAGTCCACCACAACCCATTAAACTATCAGAGAAATTCTGCTTTATAATAAAAATCTCTTTGGAATTCAGTATCAACAATTCTGGCTCTGCATGGTGAGTGCAATATTCATGGATTTTGCTTAAATAAATTTGCTTTTAATTTCTTCGATGAGAAATTGAAAATAATAGAAACTCTGACCACTTTAACTCTTGGTCTCAATGGCATCAATAAGAGATGCCCTGCAAAATGGTCACTCTGGGCACCCAAAACAGGTTGCCCAGGATTCCCAAAGCTTGGGTACAGTAAACTATGAGAAGGAAATTAGGGAGGATCCACCTAATAATCATA